TACACTGGCACTGACCCACCGCCAAACGGGGCCAAAGCAAATGCAGAGACATGATCCGACTTAACCTATTTCAGAATCCTTTCCTGTGTGTGACCTTTTTAATGCAGAGCTGAAAGTCAGACCTCACATATGTTGGTTTTGTAACCCCTTTACCCACCTGCAGCTTGTTACTGCGACTAGCATCACTTCTGCTTAGTACAGGCTGAGCTTCAATGTAATAGCAAGTGTGTACCAAACCTGTTTTTTCTGCAGTGAAATGCAGTCAGGGGGTGTAGCGAGGTAAAGAATCAGGTCACCTAACATTGGGAGGGTCTCTGCCTCCAGGGCGCTACTTTGTCGCTGCAGAAATCACCGTTGAGTGGCTTTGATGAAGGTCGCAGAGGAGGCAGCAGAAGATTTTGTTGAATTGTGTTGTAATGGTTGTGCTAGTGGGTGCTGAGATTGATGATGGTCAGGGTGAGTGGTGACAGCTTGCTAGTTAAGGTGATGTTTGTCTAATTTCCTCTTTGAGGTCTTAAGTTCTGAGATTCATAAGAAATGAAAGCTTCCTCACAGCAGGGGCATATTCAACCTGTAAACACGCCCGACACTTGCAACACGGATGCATCTCGATGCGTACGGGTGATCGATCAATCATCATCAGTGAGAAATCAGGAGGTGATATTTCTGTCTGCTGTACTGACTTGGAAAAAAAGAAATTGGAGTGTAATGTAGACACACTTGTTTATCTCACCTCTAATTCCAAAAAGTTGTGTGAGGTGAGGTCGTGGCGACACACTGACACAAGACTGGAGGAGATGTGTGTTTAAGCTGATATCAGTTGTCTTCTGTCAGCTGCATCCATCATTGTTATAGGTCATCTAAAAACCTAAAAGTGTCCCGGGTTTTTAGTATCTCTGCTTTGTGGCTCATTGGTTGATCCTCAGTACCTGGATGTACTGGTCCCACCGGCTGGTTATCATGCTTAAAGAAGGAGAAATAGGATGTATTATTATTCCGATACCTGCCCAGTGCAATGCTAGACTTTTGAACACCACCTCTTGCAGCCATGGTCCTCCTCAGAAATGTGTGGGGACTGTTGAGACTGTGGACAAAGCAGATAAAGACGCACAATAAGTGAAGGTAGTGCCTACAAGCGTTAATGCTACATTCATACCCTTCTGACACCATGCCACTCACAGATTGTCAGTGTCATGGGGATGCCTGTAAATAATACTGCTTTATTTCTGTCTTTTTGCCCACAGTCACTGTCAGTCACACTGCATTTCTACACTGGGAGGCATTGTTTTCTGATCTGCTCCGGTCATCTGCTCCCGTGAGCTAATGCTGCTGCTGTTATTGGTGGCTGCACTGGTATAAAACAATGAAAGCTGTTCACATCGATGTCTATGCATCTGTGACACCATCATGACAGTGTTGTGAGACTGTGCTTCTGAGGGTTTATCTTTCCGCCACAAACGTGTGTTTGCTCAGTGTTGTATGTGTCACTGCAGTTGGTGATCTTTCAAATCTTGAGCAGTCAAAGGCAGATTATGTGCTTGGTTTCTTCCAACATGCTCTTCATTTGATTTTATTACACTATGTTTCATTAGCAAACTCAATGCTAACCTCACTAACTAGATACAGTGTAGCAGTCTCCTCCCCCCTCCCCCCAACTCCACCCCACACACATGTGTTTACTGTCCAATAATTCATGACTTGTACAGTAAATATTACCAGCTGCTTTTATGTGGTGCAGTTTAGCGCGAATAATCCAGAGTCAGCTGCTAATGATTCAGTGGGGCACACAAACCTCTAAAAGAGGAAGTGTCTACTTCCTAGGTTCTTGTTCCTGTTGCTGTGGCTGCAGTTGATGTTCATTCCCACTTTCCCATGAAAATCAGCCCAAACAAGCCCAGGATGCAGAGCACTGGGCTGCTGGCTAATTTTACCATCTCAGCTCTGGCCGTTACAGCATGTTTCTCACATAATGTCATGCTCACGTTGCCAGAGAGTTGTCCACCATATTGGGTGTGATGCAACGTTGAACAAAATTTGTGTATACCTTGGTCTTGTTGTTGGTGTCTGACTTGCTGTGGCCTGTTAGTGTTTCCACTCTCTGGTCCAGATAGGTTCTGTTTTTGTATTTTCAGAGTAATCCTCCATGGGGAGAAACTGCTACTGTGCTGGTTTATTCGGGGTTCAGCCTGCTGTAGTTTTTGCCTTTTTAAGTTGCTCTACCACATAACTAGATAAAGTTGTGTGGGAATAAGACCTGGGAAGTCTGTATGCAGTGAGTATTTCCTTTTCAGTCACCTTTCTCACTCAACATGTGTTAATAGACCTCTGCTGAATCACACTTGTTATTAATTTCTGGCTCTATTCCACAGCATGTCCTTCATCCTGTTTTCTTTCTCTGGTCGCAGCAGATGGCCCCGCCCCTCCCTGAGCCTGGTTCTGCTGGACGTTTCTTCCCGTTAAAAGGGAGATTTTATTTCCCACTGTCGCCAAAGTGCTTGCTCATAGGGGGTCATATGATTGTTGGGTTTTTTTTCTGTGAATGTATTATTGTAAGGTCTACCTTACAATATAAAGCGCCTTGAGGCGACTGTTGTTGTGATTTGGTGCTATATAAATATAATTGAATTGTAGCTTGTAGGGCTGGGCCATATTATACCGTTCACGGTAATACTGGTATAATGTTAGGCAACGATAGGAAAATGAAATATCGCGATAGAATGGGAGTAAAACGCGCATGCGCAGTGCCTTTGTTTTCATACGCACAAGGCCGATTGTTGAGTGAAACAGATGAACCAGAATTGGTTTGTAAAAATGGTGCAACTTCAGTGATGTGGAACTGGTTTGGTGTTTGTCTGTCAGATACACGACAAAGCACATTTTTTTGCAGAACATGCAAGCGGCCGTTGTTATTGTCATATTTGTCGGACTAAGATGCTCTTAAATCTGGGAGTAATCTGGGTCCTAAACTCCCGTCTCTTCAGGTCAAACAACACTGCAGCATCACTGAGAGTTAAAAACTGTCTAAATTCTTTCATCTTTAATAAAACGATCAGCATTGCTGCTTTACCAGGTGTAACTATGAAGTTTAACTTCCAGGCATCCATGAAAACAAAAGTTATTACATTTAACGGAGTTAGAAGTTAGCAGGAAGCTAGCGGAAGTTAGCTCGCTAGTTTCGCTAGTTACCTAAGCATGATATAGCATGTTCTGACTGAGAGATTTCTGAAAAAAATCAAACGTACAGCTCTGCTATCACTTCCAACATAAATGAAGACAGGAAACTAAACAGCAGTGACGTTTGTAGGGTTACTGAAGTTGGGCTAGCTGGTATATAATGATGTGCTACGTGATCGCTAGCGACACAGCTATGTTAGCATAACATAAACAGTGAAGCTGGAGGACGAACACTAACACTTTTCCACTTATAAAAGTTAACGTTAAGGTTCCTGATGGTTAGAGACAAATGCAATCGCATGGCAGGATGCTGTAAACGGACCAAACTTCAGTCAGGAGAACAACTGAGATAATCCATCCACAATACGAGGTTAGTCATTAATATACTGCAACAACATGGGAATAGAGCAGCTGCCAGAGAATTCAACATTAATGAATCAATGGTACAGAAGTGGAGGAAGCAAGAAGAATGAGTTTAATAAAGTTTGATTTATCTGACTGCTTTGTTTCGCTTAATGTGCCTTATAATCCCGTGCACCTTATGGTCCGAAAAATACGTACTGCACACTGCAGTTTAATGTTGCAAAGCACCTCTTTTTAACTTCAGTGGATATTATACATGGTTATGCTCAGGATATGTCAGCCCATTTCTACTGGAAATGCCTTTTGGTTAAACTTTCAGCAAGGAATTTGCATTTGCACTGTTACATTTTTATAAAGCTTTAATGTACATAAAAACCAGCTTCTTGTTTAAGTGAAAATAAATGGAAGGTTGTCTTTTTGCGCTAGTAATGTTGTGGAGTTGTATTTTGTCTCGCATCAATTATATCGTCAGTTATATCGTTATCGCAAATTTTCAAATATATATCGTGATAAATATTTTTGGCCATATCGCCCTGCTCTAGTAGCTTGCATAGCACCCCTTTTTTCAGTTGGGCATGAAGTCGTTTAGTTGTAGTCGTAGCTTGGGTGTGTGTGTGGCTGTCTTATGGCATGTATGCTGTAATTCATGCAAATGTTTGATGGAAGTGCCTTTGTAGCCAGTGGACAGTGCTTTGGTTGATGCTGGGTGTGTGCACTGGAAGTTTAATTTGTTGTTTTCATTTGTAGACAGAAACGACGGATGTTAATCGACTTATCGTTTTAGCGCATCATTTCCTTTTTACACATGAAAAAAATGTAAAGCCTGCGTTGTTTTTTTTTTTGTTTTGTTTTTTTTACATATTCTAATGTGTTTTAGTTAACTCTTGAATATGAATCATTCACATGCTTAGAAATAGACTGAAAATACCATTTCAATAGGAGAGTGCTCAGTATTTTACACTGATACATTGTTGAAAAGCTAACTATTGTGGTGTGTCCCATTAATGAGTTATGCACTGTAATGCATTGAGAAATGATGCACAAGTCTGATAAGGTCGCTGCTATTGTATCATCATCTTGGCCACTGCGGTTAAGGGTTCACCTCGCACATGCTCAGTGTGCATGCAGAGGTGTTTGTAGGTGAAGCCTTCCTCTGCTGTTGTTGTGTATGAAGTGAGCTGGTGAAGTGTTAATGGGCCTATGGAGGGGGCGCTAATTGATTCTTTCTCCCTGCTCTCATTTTCATTAACACCTGCTCCCAGGGTAGCGTGTATCTCTCTAGGTTCTGCTGTAGCCTCCCTTGTGTCCTTGTCCCTTTCCTGCTGTGTGGGGACGGGAGAGTTCCAAACCTGGGACGGATCTCTGACTGGAGGCTGGGCTGCTGTTGCATGTAGCTTAGTGAGCTGCTAACTGTGCTGCATATTAATCTGCTTCTTCCTCTCCCCACCACCTTGTGTTCACAGCATTCGCAGTGTGATGCAGAAGTACCTGGAGGAGAGAGATGAACTGACATTTGACAAAATTTTCAATCAGAAAATTGGTAAGTCTCAACCTTTTCATTCTGCTAAAGCGTAAAAGAAATGCATACCGTAGGTTACCAGGATTCAGCAGCATTTCTCTACAGAGGAAGAGATGGCTCCTGTAGCAGGAAGTTCTGCTTTTTCACATCTCACATTACAGTATTATTACTCAAAAATCTCCCTCAGTGCAGAAAACCAACAAAGAATCTATTGGAGAAGTGGATGAATGTATAGCAGAACATATTGTGATGTGTATTCATTTAGGATGCATTGTTGGAAAGTTTTATTTATTTTTTATTTTTTTGTTGTAATGATGATTCATTCATTCATTTTTGAAGTCAAACTGAGAACATAAACGCCATTGGTCTCCAGTGGCTGAAGCTTCTAATGGAGTTGCTTTTGCTTTTGGTTTCATTGAACTTGTTGGGACATGATGTGTGAACAGGCTGTTAATGGTAGCTAACACTTTACTTATGGTACAGTGTGTTTAAGCATTAGCATTTACCCCATATGGGCCCTGTGACCAGTTACTTAGGCATGCTTTACACTTTCTGCTTTGAGGTTTCATTTAGCTTCCACCCACAGATTTACTAACAGATACACACTGCCGTTTTTCCTATTGAAGGTGTTTTTCAGTTATTCTAAAGCTTTGCTACCGTGGTCCAACACTGTTTGATTGGTTTGTCGCTCCACCACTTGTAATGTCCCAGTAAAATAGAACGGTTAGTTGTGTTTGCCGTTAATTATAAACAAAAATGAATAAATCACTCCACTGTTATTGTCAGCATTTAATTTGAGTGAATTAAGAGATACTGGATTTAACTCTAGCTCTGTGAGTAAATGTGTAACAGGCTTCACTATTTGTCTTACTGAAAGGCTTGGTAACTGCAGAACTACAGTAACCACTCCTTGTGTTCACAGCAAAGCTAGTTGGTGTTGCCTCAACTGTCTCAGTTTATCTACCAAGCCAAATCTGTCTGAGTGCTGTCTGTCAGACTGTTTGCATTGTAATGCCCCTTTTCCAGGTGAAACTACAGGTCAAGCGAGATTCTATCTAAAGTCACTGCTCCAAAAGCCAGTGAAGGGTTCCTGTGCACTGTTTACATGATCTAAGGAGACTTTCTCCATAAAGGAACAAATAACACTGAGCTGTTAAGGACAAAAATTGATATTTTTTGGCAGGAAAGGCAGCTTCAACATAGGCATGACTGTCACATACAATACTTCACTAAGCGTGTTGACAGCATTGTTTTTCAAATATGTTAAGAAAAATAAAGAACAACAGAAAAACCCCACCTAACACAACTTCAGACCAAAAGAAATGCAGGCACCACTGTCAGCGCTTTTCCCCCCTTCTATTGCATATTTGCATACAAACTAGAGATGGCACGATACCACTTTATGACTGATACGATATCATAAATGTGGATATCTGCCGATACTGATATGAATCCGATATAGTGTTTTTTAATCAATAAAACTGTTTTTTTAATATATTGCTGCATTTTCTATAAGTTCATACTCAAGTTTAAATAAACAACAACACTAAAGCTATTCTGTTATACCTGTATGTGTAAAAATAAATAAATAAATAAAATACACTGCACCCAAAATATTTCATAGTTCAGCGACACTGATCAATCTAATGAACTTAAACCTACTCAATCCTTCCTATTCTGGTATTTTAAAGAGTACTTAGCAGAAATAGTAGGCAACCTAACTAATAGGGTTGCAAACTCCCAGCAAAAAAAAGGAACCACCCCCCACCCTCCACCTCATGATGCTTAATCAACGTAATCAACTTTAATTTGATGCAGTGTGAAAAAAAAAAAATGCACAGAAATCAATTATTTTTCAAGAATAATTAAATAGATTCAACATCTTTCTTCAACAGAACTGCAGACTGCACAGATGGTACCTTCCCAAAGGAAAAAGTACTATAGCTTACTAGACTTAATAGTTACTATATACAGTAATGGACTTGTATACATTTTACATAAGATTAAAACTTTGGGTGTAAGATTCAGATAATTATTCATTAAAAGCTAGATATTTTAAATGAGAATAAGAAAGAAAAGTATGTCTTTGTGCCCCCCTTTTCCCTGTTCATGCCCTATCGGCCCCCCTGGCTAAACTTTGCTAGATCCGCCCCTGCACAGTTAGCAGCCGTCAGCTGCATAGAAAAGGATCCTGGTGTAGAAAGTAAATAAATTCTAACAGCTTATCAAGCTTAAACGTGCTGCTGTTGTTCAGCCGCTGGTTTCCTCTTTCTGGCGCGAAGTGGGCCAAAAACAGACAAGAGAGACGGACTCGACAGAAAAGCCGATCAGCTGATCATTAATCAGTTTCACGATTGAAGTAGCAGCTTAATGTGGGAATGCTTTACAAACATTCAGAGATGAACTTACACACTTTCTTTACTTCTCTCTGGGATAATCGGAGATGAAATGCTGGTTTGAGGCTACAAATACACACAGCCGCTCTATCACGTGGGCACACTGCTCCGACGTGCTACGGTTATGAGCTGAGTTACGCTGTGTTGCAAGTTCTGTGAGGTGCTTTTTGGATATTTAATGGATCGGATTACATTTTTTATTTCTCTCCGATATCCGATCCAGTAATGTACGTCAGTATCGGACCGATTACGTAATATCGGATTGGTCCATCTCTAATACAAACATTTCCTCGCTTTTAAAGCTCAAAGCAAATGCTGTCATGAAAAATGAATTTGCTGGTAAATATTATCCTCTACTTGTTAGCACATAGCTCAAAGCCCCTCTTTGCTTAACTACACTCTGAGAGAGCTGGAAGCATTTTATCTGGCAGAAGGCTGCTCATCTGTGTCAGACACTCTTAAACAGAAATCATCGCCTGTAGCAGATTAAGCTGTCGCTTATTAACATTAATGGGATAAATGACTTGATATAACTGGATGGTTAATGCGGAATGTTTTTGTGTTCAGCCATGTTATGTAGCATCAATCAGTAAAATCCCTCTTCCTGACTCTGTGTTTTAGGCTTCATTTTTTTCCTCACAACCTGACACTCAAAAGTGATGGGAGAATAAATACGATCTCATAACTGTTGACCACTTTTTGCCCCAGTGTTGTTCAAAATAAACCGCCTAATAATATTCCTGATGCAGTAATGCTTAAATTTTTCAGTCCTCCTTTGCCGCAGAAGCAATTTGTAATACAAGGCTTCTCGCACTTGGGTCTAAATCAGGATTGTGTTCAGCCTCAGTGTGGCACTACTCTTTTTCTGTGCTAGTTGTGCAGATGCTTACTGTCACTTCTCTGTATGGAGTTATTCATTGTAAGGCAGCTTTGTTTGTGTTTAGAGCAATGACTCAAGGTAGAGTGTCACATTTCCTGTTTCCTCCTGCCCTCCAGTTGGTAGCAGCGTCGCTGTGCTGGCTCCTCCGAGTGTTTCCATTCTGAGCACACGGGCTGTGTGCCAGTATTTGTGGCGTACCAGGGGACCACAGCTGCCCTCCAGGCTTCTAGTAGCTTTACTTACTTTTCTCTGATCTGTGCCCTCTTTGGGAATAGACTGCGTTAATTTTCTCTGCCTCCTTCTCCTTGTCTTCAGGTCTCTTCTCTGTCAAATGTGTTGCTGTCCTTATTGCAGTCTCTCTTATTTTCTCTTTGCCACCTCATACTATCACTCAGGCTCTTGCACATTGTGTGGGTGTGCACATGCTTTATTGGTACCTTTGTGAAACTTAACACTCTTGCAGTAATTTAATAATCCTTATTTTGGCCAGTGTGTTAATTGTCTTCAGTAAGTTGGACACTGCTGGAAAAACAGTGGGAAACATGTCTACACACTTGGTGGATGCAGCCACCACGACCACTGGTGACCCAGTGCTTAGTGGAGTCCTGTTTTTAAGGCTCAAGATGAGTGTAGGGATGTGGTTAGTGTTTTGAAACCAGACACGATAAGCAAAGAGCATGCACTGTCTGGCTGACACACGGCATGCACTGAGGCTAGCAACATGTCAATCACGTGGTAAAACAAACCCTGCTTTATCCTCACTCTGGACTCAAGTGGCATCCCTAATGTGTGCTGTTAGACATCTAGTTTATAGATCCAAACGGGACACAAAAAAAAAAAGACATCTAGTTTATAGAAATAAAATCCATGTGCTCATATTAAGCAAACGTGGAATTTCACTATTATACCTACAACAACCTGCCTGAAGATCTTTGTGATGGGTGCTTTTTGGAGCTTGCATTAAACATCAGCACCTGTGGGCAGAACTGGCATGAATGCCAAAAACACACAGTTTACCAAATAGGTCTAATGAGATTGTTTAGTTGAACTAACTATGAAAATTCACACTAACATAAAAATCCCTTTAAAATTTTTCAGTCAGATAAAATCATATAATATCACAAGCCTAATTTCCTATTTGATGAGTATAATTCATTGTATTTTAGTATGTTAGACGCAGTGACCACAGTTACACGTCTAAGCTTGCTGAACAGGTGATTTAATTAAGGACTCTCATGGACTTCTTACTGTCAGCACTTATTGTGATTGTGATCACAGTAAGTGCTGCTGTCGACTGTGAAAAATCATTTTTTCCTCTCCACTGTTTTCATTGTCTTGGTCATAATGCTGGCGCTTCAGATCCTGGCATGTTTGTCAGAAAAGGTGCTCTGACTCCATCATAAGCTACAATACTGAGTACTTGATATTCACGGACGCGCTGTTAAATAAGTTTTATAGTCCTCGCACATCTATTTGTAGTTGCAAGTGTGAGTGAAATGTTTGCACGAGGGGGGTGGGGGGTGGCTGGGACAGTGGTAATGTCAAAAAAATCAAAACGCATGAGAAAACACACTAGGCATTAGTGAAAAGAGTGAGCGCGTATGTGTCAGTGAACAGAAACTCTTGAGTTCTTGAGAGGACTGTTATGATGAAACACTTGCAGGCGTATGCAGCCTGCTTTACCTGACGTGACCGGCCTGGCCTGCACTGTATCATTTCAATCACTGGAACCAGGATTATATTTT